TATGACGCGGTCGGGGATCGAACCTTCCGCTCTCCGGGCGAACGCTCTAATCGCTACACCACGGAGGCGGTCCACAGCGACAAGAGCACACGCTAAACAACACTTCAGTTAGATCAGTAGGCATTCCTCAGCATAGCTGGGTGCAACATACAAGAAAGATACCAACACTTTTTAGGTAGTACACAAAGATTTAATTAAGCACCCCTGTATTTTGCAATGATAGGTTTTCAACACGTACATAAAACTTCTCGTGGTGAACACGATGGAAAAACATGAGTATTTCTGACCCGTATGATCCTTTTGACACATAACGACTGACAAAATTGGTATCCATGTTGATTTATTATGATACTTGCTCATTTCAAGACACTGATTGTCACGTAAAACCATGTCTGTACAAGTATGGCAATGGAATGGTTAATGTTGAATTTATTGGTGAATGTGGACATTCAAAATGTCATTTTGCGTGTCTTACACAATTGAAGGTCAATACCGAGTGTAACCTCCATGTGACTGTATGACAGCCAGCACTCTCCTCATACCCCGTCAGCCACCTGATCCTCTGGAGGGGCAGTCTACACCATTCCTCGTGTAAAGCAGCTTCCAAATGGGCCAGGTTCTGCACAGAAGGATCCCTTTGTTGCGCAGAACCAAACACGTCCCATGTATGCTCCAAAGGGTTAAGATCGGGACTCATTCAATCGTGAGAGGTCAGGGGGTGCTTAACTAAGTTCTTTGTGTATAGTTGCAATACACATGTTAGGTCATCTTTTAGCAGATGTGTACATGACACTCACCATCATATCGGTCAACCTTGGAACCCGTTCGTTTTGTTTCCCTCGAGTGCTTGCGCATGCTCAGATAGCCACCTAACGCGAACTACACATTTTCCGCTGGGTGACACTCGGTTGACTGTTTACAAACAAATAAAATAATTTTAGGTCAGTTGATTAAAAATATGTCTCATTATTTTCTTCCTAGTAATAGTGGTCTATAGACAGACATGATGCAGTGTCCAAATATGACTCGTACGTGTCTGTAACACTCATTTGCGACCATCTGTGAATCAATTCAATTAACCAAAACAGCTTGGATAATTACGAATTTGTTCATTTGTGTGAGTAAGTCGGTAAATGAGGACGAATATCTTTGGCCTACTCATCCATGTTGCTATGAACACCGCGTCAATGACGTACTTCCGCCACTCTCACGATCTCCTTCCTCGATTTTGCAGGAGGGCCCTCTTGACTCGAGCGAGCGAACACACGTGAGAGACGCTCGGGTCGTTCGATTAGGCAATTCATCGCACGTGCGAAACACTTTGTGCAAAACGAACGCACCCATGATGACAATTCTGGACAAAACGTTCATTTCGACGTCAATAGACCTGTACTCTTCCGTCACTGACACTGAACCATACACGTCGCCAGTTTTGTTGATTCCAGAATCGAACGTTATTGCACCACTGGACACGTTGACGTCGATGTAGTTGTCGCAGCACAGAGCCAAATGAAGGTGTGGCTCGAAGTCCAGCTTCTGGTAAATTACGAATGGTTTGCGCCGACACTCCTCAAAACAAGGCACTGCACTTGCTGTGACAGTTCGATTCCACAAATGAATTAACCGGATGTAGCTATCCTGCTGAGGTAATCCGAGGTCTTCCACGAATTGATGGTACTCTGGTGAACACGAGGTGACGTGGAGTAATAAAAAGTTATATAATACGGATTTTCTCCTTTTAAAATAACATGGTAGGTTTTGGCAGCTATAAAAACAGATATTGCTATTGGACAGGATACAAGCAGCTTTTGTATATCAGTAAAATTACTAAAATTCTGACATTGACTATCACAAGTATTTAAAAGACTAAAACGTTCATCACTATAAACCGGGCAGTTAAAACATGAACTTCGTCTTCAACACAGTGTTTAAAATAAAAACATTTTCTGTCGTTAAGTGGGATATTGTTATATCTACCCAGCTCAATATTAATTGGTGCAGTGCCGCATCTGAACTTAGCATATGCACATCTGTATGGGCGGGGCATGGGATGAGTTACGTAAAAATTCTGGGGTTTAAACATCCTTAAAAGTACAATAAAAGCGTAGCTCATTTATCCCCCGTTTAGAGGGACCACAGGTATTCCCTACCGATTCCTTCCACTCCTGTCTATAAATATCAAATAATTGAGACTCCCCAGCCTCCCAGTGGCAATTAATGTTTCGATTTACAGCCGTGAGTCGCGGCATAACGATATTAGCTAAAAATGCCAATAACCGACTAAAAGCAGAACCTTTTCTCCATGACATTTCCATGCAAACGTAAAGGTGCATTAAAGTTTCCAAAGATTCATTTTTTCTGTGTGCATTCGTTCCATTTAAACAAACCAGCATTATGACGAAATAACATTCAAACACTAATTTTGCAAAAAACACCTCAAAACCATTTCAAATGTATAATATCAATATCACCTATGAGCTTTTTGGGGAGTGTATAAACAACTCGCAGGTAAATATTTAATTTCAGGCATTTGTTTCTGAACGTGCTACGAGTTAAGTATAGGTTTCCCCCTTTCAAGGTTGTTTTTAAATAAATACCTGTTGTAGTGAGGATGATTAAACGGCTTACACCACGAGGGCATATATACACGTGTGTAAGGTATTCGGCATTGTCAAAATGAGTACAATTTTACTGCTTGTAAATAGAAACAATTGCCCTAGGGTAGTTATTCAGTTATGCTAATAAAACACTTCCAAGAACAATGGACATAACATATTGGCAGAAAAGTCGAGGAATTCCATCACCGATCATGAAACCTGAACAAAATGAGCGAAGGTTGAACTGGTGCTTACAGCATAGAAATTTTAACTGGGACAATGTGATTTTTCTCAGATGAAAGTTCTGTGTGGCCGTTTCCTAATACACTGAAATTCTGGACCAAACAATCTGAAAACCCTTTGTATTATCGCCTAAAGTACAGTCCGTCAGGATGTCATCACGGTGAAAACAGTGGCACTGCAGCCTTTGGTAGTGCACTTCCAAGAAACAAGTCCCCATTCTTTCACCAATTCTATACAAAAAGCCAGATACACAGAAATACCTACCACCACGTGCGAGGGCGGTGGGGGTAGCCTAATGGTTAAAGCGTTCGGTCGTCACGCCAAAGACCCGGGTTCGAATCCCCACAAGTGTATAATGTGTGAAGCCCATTTCTGGTGTCCCCCGCCGTGATATTGCTGGAATATTGCTAAAAGCGGCGTAAAACCAAACCTCAGTCAGTCAGTCAGTCAGTGCTGTTGGGAGAAACTTAAAATCTGAGCGTTTTCCATTTCGAATGTGATGCAACAACCTCCATTTCCAGCATACATATACTAGTTCTTTAGTATGACATTGAGTGAACATAATGAAGTGAATACATTTCATGTAATCTTTGAGTTGATCGCCGTGAACACTGTTCGTTGCCTGTCAGGGCCTGTAGTCACTTCGAGATGACCCACTGACGGCAGTCCCTTATCAATCCCTGTGTTATAACAACAAGTATCAGACAAACTGGAGATCACCTTCCTGCGAATGGGAAATTTTGGAGGGTCGACGTCCTGAGAATCGGTATCATTTGTCTCAGCGAACTGTAAATGTCCTGTAAGGTCACGGCACGTAGTATTCCCGGTGGGAAACTTACACTTCAACATACCCAAGAATCTGTGCCAAGAGGATCACCCCAGGATTGAAATCACCCAACCGTAAAACGGTGATAGATAAAGGAGGACCTGTAGTTTAGATAATTTTTGAAGATAATTAAGAAAATACAATAACATATACTGCAGTATTTCTAAATATAGCGTTTAAGATCTTTGTCTTCATAATTGATATGGACAACCATTTGAGATGGAAAAAAAACCCTTTAAAAACAAGGTTTTAAGATGTAGTTTGCGTAAAAAGTATATAGGATATATTGTCCACAATCGTTAGGTTCATTGTAGACCATCAGTTTACTACACTGAGATGTTTCGCGTTTTGTCAAACAGGAATATCAAGGAACTTTGTAAAAGGAGATGAAAAGCACCTTAAATATGTTTACATGTATATGGTCTTGTGTAATTATCAAGATTTAGCATAGTATGAACATACCCGAGGAGACTTGCGCTTCCAAATGACTGCACTGGATAGATTCCAACCGACACGGTTGCTGACAGATTTGTTTAGGGCAAAGGATTGTTCTTCGTGGAGCTGTCTGTAGTTTGTGACTGTTCGCGGTCTAAGTTCCATTTTTTTTTTTAACATTTGTCGAACTGATTACACCAATGGCATTCTGCAAGTATCTAGAGCTTATGCTTTCAATCCAGTGAAAATGCAACATAAACGGCCTTTCATTGTTCTCATTGTTCCACCTGTCATAACGAGGTTCACTTGTCTATACAGTACAACTAATAATTGTTTGAAGGGCATATTAGAAGTTGGCGACTCAAAAATACATACAACTTTATGGATGACAACTCCTTATTTATTGCATATAGCGATGTAGATGCTTGCATCTTTATCAACGATGTACGAATCTACATCGAAACGTCGCTCTATGCAATAAGTAAGAAGTTGTCATCGATAAAGTTGTATGTTTCATTTTTGAGTACAACTAATATTATAGAAATTAGAATCGGACAGGTGTAACTGTAATAGAATTAGCGATGTTTTCATAATCAAGGATCAGTATAGGCACACATAATCGGGTAGCGACAGATTCGACGATCATCAACATCTCCTGATTAACTTAACTGAGAAAACAGCATTGCTGTTTTTACAGATGTGTTCTCTTACCAGGAAATTGATCGTTATGAAACTTTGCATACATGTCTCCGAAATTACTCTCGGAATTGCATAGACAATGAAGTTCATAAACTACCGTTGCCATCAGTAAGTGTGTTGGGTATTAACATAGGACAAAGATCGTAGCATGATATTAAAATGTGTGTGATTATATAAACACACACGAGTAGACACTGTTGTAATTTGTTTTAGTTGAGTAATGGAACATGCTTTTATTTTCATAATAATGACGCACTACATATGTAGTGTCAACACCCGATATTCAGAATCGACACATTCTGAGTTTCACCATCAAGCACGCATTGTCAAGAACTAAATCTAACTATGAGCGCCCGTGGGGAGACACTGCGGGATGCCAAGCAATTCAAGGGCTTTTGGTCCAAAGGAGAACCAAATGTGTTATCTATATTTAAGGGAATTAAAATATTGAGAAGATGCAAGTCTTAATGACGAGTAGCATGCCCTTGTTTGCACGGTTGGTTGCACACGAGTGTGCATGAAGCGCCAACTGGGCCATGGCACAAATAATTGTACATGGGTCCGGTCTAGTAAAGTCATAGTTGGCGGTCGCGCAATTTGGAACCAGAACTGGTTCTTGAATATACGCTTGTCATCGGAAATCTGGTACCGGAAGTAAGCTCGGCCCCTGCCCCCATTATCGCAAGGTGGCGTGCGCAAAGGGAGCTGAGAACCAGCTTAGTACCGGAGGTAACGCCTCGCGAGACTTGTAGGCCCTTTTGAAAGACTTTTTGTAGTTTTCATATGTGACAGTTTCAACTGCACGTTTCCAAGATTCCAGCCCCGTTTCATTAAGTGAAACATGTTTTTTGGTTTTTATTTTTATTTACCAACCACCACTTACAAACCGGGTACAACAATTACTGGTTGCGTCGGAAACGTGACCGAGGAGCTTCGGGTTGTTCAATTGGAAAGTCTACCGCAGCACCGTTCAATGTGAATACGTCCGTCATGGCAGTACTGCGAGAGTTCCACAGAAAGCTTCCTAGACTTCCACCTGCAAACAAACGAGGAAAGTTTTCCATTACAAAAGTCTTGATCACAAAATTAACCTTAAGCTTACATACACTCTTCAAAAAACAAATTGCACAGGCGTTTTCAGCAGTTGATCGTGACAGCAATAGTCATTAAGACAATTGCTATGTTTTAATCTCGTTAATGATGTGGTGGTGGTGGTGGTGGTTGTGTATCGTGCGCAAACCTCATCCTAAAGTGTGTTTGAAAAGGTTTGTGAAATAAAGAAAACAATGAAGAGTGGGAGTAAATGCTGAAAAGTATTTCCACGTAATGCACGTGCAATATGTGGGAAACACGAGTAGAGACTTGAAGACCAAAGTCATGCCTTATGAAAGAAAAAAATAAATACTAAATGCCGACAGTGAAATGCTACTGACCGAAATATCGCCATTAGACGTTTGGAAGCAAGTCCGTCGCAGTCTGCCCTTGCAAGAGGTCAACGTTCACAGAATATTTCATATATGTTCACATACACGATTCATAGCTTCTATTGAGCAGATCCCGAGAAAGGACAACGTTTCAAATGAATATTGGTCCTTTGCTTGCGATGCAGCTGATTTGGAGCATTAAACAATTCAACACTGCCTAAATTATTTATAGATTACCTGGCTGTTCTCTGCGTTTTCGGCCTTTAGGAAAACAGGACGGCTGCAAGTGAAAACATAGAAAGTTACTTCTCAACAAAATGCTGACGCAGTCAGTATTAGCAAATTTCAGTTTCGAAGGGGGTGCAACTATACAAGTGACTACACCAATTAGATGTGTGCACAAAATTACAAAAAGAAACTCATAGTCGACATACATGATTCAGCTTTTCACATTTGACAACTTAAAATGTATTTGAATAAAATAAGGCGCAAAGTGCCAGAAGCATATTTAGCCCAGTTCTTACGCCATTGCATGCTTTGGCGCAGACCGTAAAGTTGCATTCAAACTTCAGTTGTGGATCCCCGTTAACAGTGAACACTTTGAAGAAGGCGCTGTAGGTTCTCTTGCCAAGTGTTTTAAAGCCTTGCGTCTGCTTTAGCACCATGCCGTCTCCACAACTGAAACGATACGAATACAAGGGTGGTGTTTAACGCAATATTTGAGCTACATACCGGCGGTTTGTAAACATACCCTCATCAAAACTTCAGACTCGGTGTACATGTAGCCACTCACTCCAGGCAACTGTCCTAAACTAAATTTCGCAAAAAAATCCATACTTTTGAAAGGCGCTGTTTATACACGAACTGATGTATTGTAAAACAAATTGAAAACGTTGAAAAGATTGTCATGCGTTCAATAAATGATGAAACGTCATTTTGATAGAACTTTGCCACTTTACAGCAAAACGCAGCTGTTCACATGTAAGATTTTTTCACATGCTCATCAACAATTTCATGCATGATACTCGTGCAAGTCATCTGCACTGAGGTTTGCAGTCGTCCCTCCTTTAGTGGAGGAATGTACAATCTAACGTTGTAACCATATATAACACTCATTGTTTTAACATACAAAACAGTCATTGTTTTAAGCGAGTCTAAACATTTTGATCGGTAGTATAATTTAGACTGACTAGACAATCTAGTGATCAACACGAGCATCGTACCACATAACTGAGACGACGACATGCGTCAACCAAGACTGGGAGCCTGACCAGCAGATCCTGTTACTAGCCTCTTATGACAAGCATAGGGGTCGTTGCCAAGACGACTGTTCTGACGCCTTTGGTGAAACATGCATTAGGGTCGTTGCCAAGACGCCGACTGCCGAGCAATCTAGTCTATTTGGGTATATTGATGCTGAGTTTTTTTCGAATTTCCTTGCCAGAACTGTATAGACAGATTGCCGATTCAATAGGAGTGCGATGTTACTAGAAAATAGCGCGCTGATTGGTTTAAGGCAGCTTGGAACATGGCGAAATAAAGACATGCAAAGTTAGAGAACAGTAACATTAAGAATGAAGGCGTCGATAGTGAAGGTAATGAAACATTACATCGGAAGCACTTCTGCCATATCGTAGATGCAACTACAAGGACAGACCCTTTTCAGCAAATGTTAGGTATCTGTTATTTAGTGTTAAACTCATAAAGAAACCTTTCTACTCACCCTGATCTTAGAATAGAAAGTCTACCACCCTTTGAATTCAAAGCATCGCAAGATTCCGGTCGTAAGCCTTTGTCAGCAGGTCCTGGGCGAAAAGCAGTTATGGTAAGGTAACTCACAGTATTGCCTACACTATGCTAACCACGACATTAAGAAACATTAAGGAGAAATACACAGAATTACCAGAACCGGTTTCCCCTATAAAAACAAAACATGGATGAACACTACGGATAACAGCATATGGTCTCCGTCACTATTGTTCCAGGAGCAGCCAATAAACGTATTGTATGTGTTTACTTACCGAGTGTGACGGCCTTCAGGCGGACACTCTTGCCGGCATTAACGGAACCTGAAATCTTCCTGCCGATGACGTCGACAAGGTACAGGAGAATGACAGAGGGGCTCTTCGGGGGCGTATTTCCCTCTATTACCTTTGGAGCAGCAGCACTATGGGGGAAAACGGGAGCAAGGTGGAAAATTTAGATCTTCAGAGCCAAGTCAAAGACAAGGTTGCACATCGATCGTAAACAATGTAAACATAAACAAAAAAAACTTAAAATATGAAAATGAGGATAAAACATGCCCAAGAATGGTTTAGGATGATTGGTAATGATTCTTGAAAAGAATTCAGTTTAGAATATGGAAACTGTCCGAAATGTTTCCGTACACAGTTTATCCTTCCAGCAACTTACCCAGGCTTCACCTTAATGGACGAGCTCTCCTTCTTCGCACCAGGCTGGTAGGAGCAGGTGATAGTGTACCGTTCATCTGTCTGGTGAAGCCGGCTACCGGGGGTGCCGAACGCCACAGTCACCAGGATTGTGTAAACAAATGCATCCTTCTTTTTCTGGAAAAAAGAAACACAAAAATGCAATTGACCATCTGCTTTAGGGAAGCCTTATGGCCGGGCGTTAGGCAGTATACTGTACTCCGGTTTCAGACGAAATCGCGTCGCACATTGTACCCATGTGGGGAATCGAACCCGGGTCTTAGGCGTGACAAGCGAACGCTTTTACCACTAGGCCACCCCAGCGGCTCGTTACGTTGTGGGAAAATTCTCCATCCCCTTACCTCCAGGATTAGTGGATTGACTATCTTCGCAATAGGGATAGGACGACGCGAAGCCAGCCTGACCACCCGATCCCGCTAGTCGCAGGAAAAGTAGCATTATTCAAATGTCAACCTCGGAGACATTTATTTGATTCATTCCTCGGAAAAATCCATCACATTAACCTCGCCTGCGTTCGTTTTGGTTAAGCATCGTTAGATATTCTAAAACGTATACGTCCGAGCGTTCGAAACTAGAAGTTTACGAGTTACCAAGCTACGTGGAACTGGTTATGCAGACAGTATCGCGGTGTATTATACTAGTCGCACTTTGCTAAGGATCAAATCATTGATTCAACAGAAAACTGACGTAGGGTCTAATTTGGTTTAAATATCTAAGCCTGGATCCTAGGTTTCAGTGTGCGACTGCATCTTGTGAATCCCATACCGGTAATTGAGGTGTTGTGTACTTGTCAATGACTCGTTCCACGATTTGCAGAATGGTGCCATGAAAAACCATTTTTATGGTTACTCATGTATCAAGTGTATAGGGTTAAAGTAAAGTGTTACCATACCATTTATCCAGTTTATGATTTTAAATTATAAATCTAAGTAAATTCAGTAAAGTTGGGATTTTGATCCTTAGCTAAGTTTTAGTATATAACCAAAATATACTTACCACAAATTTACAGGCGGATGATCCCCCACCAGTGACTGGGTAGGACACGGGCAAGTTGAAGTACACTCCATCAACGGAGGTGAAGCTCACTTCCTTATTGCCTCCACAAAATGCTTTAGCCTCAGCATCATAATCGGTCAACAGATGTACTGCTGCGTCGGCGATACCGTTTTTTCCACAGTCCGGTTCGACTGAAATAAGATGCATTTGGTTAACGTCACGCTACGCACAGGGAGCTAGTTTAGTTTTACGCCGGGCATCAGAGTGAGCGAGTGAATTTGGTTTTACGCCGCTTTTAGCAATATTCCAGGAATATCATGGCGTGTGTGGGACGGCGTGTGTTGGGAGGTGGGTGGGTTGGTGGTACACCATAAATGAGCTTTACACAATATACCCATGTGGGGATTCGAACCCGGTTCTCCGGCGTGACGAGCGCACGCTTTAACCACTATGCTACCCCACAGCCCCGCCGGGCATCAGAAGTGGGATACCCATGTGGGTCCCAGGACTTACGAGCTCCCAGCCAAAGTTTTAACCAGGAGGCTACCCCTAGACTCTAGAATTCACTTATTACCCAATCAATATACGAGGAAGTGGAACATTTTGCAGGATACTCTGAAATGTGGGAACTACGGTAATCTAAATCAGGGTCACTACATATGAAATTTGATGAATGTCCGACCTGAGCTATGTTACATACTATAGGATTCCCTTCACTACAGACTATTCTGCAGAGGTTCTACAAACTGCATATTCTACATGTGGATTTCTGCAGAGGTTCTACAAACTGCATATTCTACATGTGGATGTATACATGTGGGGGTGGTAACAAAACCATGGCATTACTTACTGTCCAATAAATATCCCGGAGGTACCACAGCCTGGACGGTAGCCTGGATAAATACCACGTAGAACAAAACTTCATTAATACGGACACGAATGATAAACACCAATTCACAATGGACAGGACTTAACGTTACTATGTGCGAGTGCCTTGTTCCTCAAGTGCTAGAGTGAGGGACCAAGTTGGGTTTTACGCAGCTTTCAGCAATATCACTGGATGACACCAGAAACGAGGTAAACACCGTACCCGTGTTGGGAATCGAACCCGGGCCTTCGGCCCGACGACCGCAAGCTTTAACCATTGGGCTACGCCACAGGTGTTACAGATCCACAAGGTAAACCTGTCGTATGTGCGGCATACTTGAATTATGAAAGGGAAAGTCTATTACCAACACTTTCAAGTATATATCCATGGCTAACAGTTTTGAACTCGGCAATATTTCTGCTACAAGGCTGTTAGTAAATTATCCAATGTCAAACATTCCGGGAAGAATTGACATACGTACCAGGGATACGATGGCGTCAATAGAACCACTCGATCCCGTCACTCGCCGTTACAAGCATGGCCGAGCGAGTGGTTTAGGCTGCTTTTAGCACTATTCCAGCAATATCACAACGGGGGCACCGGAAATGGGCTTTACACATTCTACCCACGTTGGGAATAGTACCCGGGTCTTCTGCGTAGCGAGCGAACGCCTAAACCACTTAGCTACCCCCACCGCCCCGCACAATCTTGTTGGACGTCGAATTGCAGCCATGCCACGATCAAACAAATATACTGGACTGGGCCTGTCAAACCAGTTCGACAGCATGGACCAAAACGCCTGGGCAAGGTACATATATACACTTGGGCTCGTCCCCATGGGCATACTTACTATGAAGCCAAGAACAAAGAAAATTGCTTCCATTTTTCACCTTTCGGCTGGAAAAGAATATTTCTCAAATAAGACAGTCGGATGAATGTCAGTTGAAAATAAGAAAAAAACGCGCTTCAAATGGTTTGTGCTTCAGTCATGATCCATTTTCTTGGTTATTATACATACAAAATCTAGGTGTAACTTTTAATACAAGTGACTTCATTACTCAGATACAGACGGTCACGCCTGCTTTTGACGAGTTTAGAACATCAAATTAGTTTTTAACGGGACTTATATAAAGTTACATATGGTCATCAAAAGCACGATCATTTCTCGTTTTCGGGCTCAAACCACCCTCACGTAAAAATAATCGGCGATTTTTCGGTCCATATCCCACACTACAAGAGTTCATAACTTGAACGAAAAGTATCAAATACATCGTCACTCAAAAAATGTTGTAAAATCGCAGTTACCATACGGCTTGTTAACCTAAGACATCCTTTCCACGACTAACATTTAACACAGGTTATAAACACTCACCGCAACAATAGAAAGCTCAAACTCGGACCGTCTCATACAGTTTTGTCGACAAAGCTTTATATACATCCAATGAAATCCATGTGCACGTGCTGCACGATGGTGTGTTTTGGCGATTGAAACAAACTCAATGTGACGTCTTTAACCGTAATAGCAATGGACCCGGCCATTTCTTCAGGGGTGGGAGAGAAGTATTTGATGAACAGATGTACAGAAAATCATGATTCCTGTAACTTCTTTTCACAGAAGTGGATTAACATTGTACGTATAATCTAAGACCATCCCTGACTAAATGCACTTTACATATTATTATACTATGCAACCTCCCCTTAACCCCCTGATTTCCACTGACTACCCCCAGTAATAATTGACCGGGTCCTAAGTAGCAATTTCGGGAATGGTTTGTCGACCTTTCTGTACTGATCTTGACACGGGAGCGTGTTACTGATTGAACATCGACAACATCACCACCGCAACACCAACATCTACTACAGTCCGTTTGACTTCATTTGAGACCGATGAATTGCTCACTAACACAAAATCTAATACATGCAACAAAATCAAACTTTGCACAGTCACGTGAAATCAACAGACCAACTCTGATGTTTTGTCTCATAATTTTGGACACCCGAATAAAAACTTGCTGGTAGAACAACCAGGTGTGCGAGTTGCACGTGTGAAATTGAAATTTCACTGCACACGCTTGTTGGTTACATGGCTGTTCTACCAGCAAATGGTCATCCCTCGTAAGAAATAACAAACGGTGACAAAAAATAATGATCGTTTGTTAAACAACTTTTTTAATCGGGTGTCCAAAATTATGAGACAAATCATCAGAGTTGGTCTGTCGATTTCATGTCTCAAATGAAGTCAAACGGACTTTACATCATTCTCACTACACCGACGCCTTCTACACCCCCAACCCCCCCAACGTCACCATCTCCCACTACACCACCACGACTACACCGATTCCCACTACAGCACCACGACTACATCAACACCCACTACACCAGCTCCAACTACACCAACGCCACTACACCAACACCAACATCCACTACACCAACTCCCACTACACCAACGCGACTACACAAACATCCACTACACCAACCCCCACTACATCACCACGACTACACCAACACCCACTACACCAGCTCCAACTACACCAACGCGACTACACCAACACCCACTACACCAGCATCCACTACACCAACTCCCACTACATCACCACGACTACACCAAAACAAACTACACCACCACGACTGCACCAACTCCCACTATACAACCACGACCACACCAACACCCACTACACCATCTCCAACTACACCACCACGATTACACCAACTCCAACTACACCACCACGACTACACCAACACCCACTACACCATCTCCAAATACACCACCACGACTACACCAACACCAACTACACCACCACGACTACACCAACACGAAATACACCAACACCCACTACACTAACACCCACTACACCATCACGACTACACCAACACCCACTACACCATCACGACTACACCAACTCAATTTACAACAACACTACACCAATTCCAACTACACTACCACGACTACACCAACACAAACTACACCACCACGACTACACCACCACGACTACACCATCTCCAACTACACCACCACGACTACACCAACACCAACTACACCACTACGACTACACCAACACCAACTACACCACCACGACTACACCAACTCCAACTACACCTCCACGACTACACCAACACCCACTACACCAACACCAATTACACCACCAAGACTACACCAACTCCAACTACACCACCACGACTACACCACCACCCACTACACCACCACCAATTACACCACCACGACTACACCAACACCAACTACACCAACACTACACCAACTCCAACAACACACCACGACTACACCAACACCAACTACACCACCACGACTACACCAATACCAACTACACCACCACGACTACACCAACACCAACTACACCACCACGACTACACCAACACGACTACACCAACACCAACTACACCACCACTACTACACCACCATGACTACACCAACACCAACTACACCAACATCCAGTCCACCATCTCCCACTACACCAACACCAACTACACCAACAGGCCTACCTTTAGAATACAGCACCACAAACTTTAAAAATACGTCATAATACCCTTTTTCGTTATTTTATGTGATCTTGTTCCAAAGCCCGTTCTCGAAACAATGATCTATGACGCCGGCATAGCAACGAGGTTATCTAGCTCAGCGAGTGCGTATAAGCATGTGCATGTGCTGCCTACAGGCACAAGGGGTCATCTCAAAGATATGTTGTGCTTTTTCATGTGTGTTGACGATGTCTCATCTATTGATTAACATCTTACTTGTCTTTCTTTCATATAGTTTATGTTGAGATATGTAAAAGAGTATGATACATGATAACCATAGAAACGCATCGTATTAAATGTCTCAAACATTATAGGTGGCATGACCACTCGATCGCCAAGATCGACAGGGCTGGATATTATTTGTAAATTGTCATGACGTGTACTTCCCCAGTATCATTGCCCTAGAGGATCATGTTTACATGTAGGTAACTACATCCTTGATAGTTTAAGCATGGACGTTATTATTTTTTACGTCAGCTATCGTTTATAATGAAGCTACGTCTAATTTCAAATTGGGCATTTAAAAAGTGTCCTTTTTAATACAATATCGTCGCACACTAATTTGCATAAAGCCATGGTCTGTTCTAAATGAATCTTTTTGGACTTTAAACAGAAACCCCGCATTGCTCATTTCTGCACTCATCTCTCCTCAGTAAAGTTCTCTTTCTACGTTTCCTATCTCCCTACCACTGAGACTGTTGTTAGGCCGAACTTAGTTTAACAGATATTTCACACTTGCACATATCAACTACATAAATTGTAGAGATAAATGAGAAAATACAGTTTTTTTTCTATTTTCGACAGTACTTTTTTTTTCAAGGGTTTAGGTTTATTAGGTTTAGTGTTTGGGGTTTGGGTTTAGTGTTTAGGGTTAGTATCCAATATAGTAGGTATAGATGTCCGGTGTAGTGCATGTGTTACCATTTGTTGTTGTTGTTGTTAATGTTGTTTTTCCTTCCCGCATTTCTAATACTTTTTTCACCCAAATAACGCTAAAAGTACACGATGAAATGATTTAATGTCGAAAATGTGGGCTAATGGAAATTATCCTTGAACTTGCACTTAAGCCATTTTCACACTCAACATTTGGGAGCTTACATTTCTCCAGCAGTGATTCGAAGGCTAACTCACACCTCGTGGGGGGCGGTGGGGTAGCCTGTCGGGTTAAAGTGTTCGCTCGTTACGCCGAAGACCCGGGTTCGATTCCCCACATGGGTAGAATGTGTGAAGCCCATTTCTGTTATCCCCCGCCGTGATATTGCTGGAATATTGCTAAAAGCGGCGCAAAACCATACTCACTCACTCACTCACACCTCGTGGCGTAATCACGACATGCTCATGCCTCCCTCATTCCTTTGTGCGATCCACATTATCCTTACAGTGTTGCCTACAACACTTTTCCGTCACAAAATCACCCGATGATTTTTGTAAAAGCATGTCATTCATCATGTATACCATGAACTCGACGTCTGACGCCTGACGTCAAAAGCCGCTGTTTTCAGTTCGCACCATATCGTCTCATTCCACACCACACAGTATCTTGTAGATTACGGAATGGTGCGGGTGTGCCAAATGTCATCGGGATCATTCGTCAATTGTCCGCAGATTCAAATCACGAAACACCAAGCATGGGCGGATCCAAGAAATTTTGAAAACGGGTGGGGTGTGTGTGTGTGTGTGGGTGTGTGTGGTGTGGTGTGAGAATCAGAGCCCTGAAGCCCCCATTGGCTCTGCCAACGCAAAAGAAATCTTCAATGTGGTCTTCAGTTATTTTCAAAGGGGTTTGGGGGTGGGGGTGTGTCGAACCCCCTGAACCCCCCCTCTAGATCTGTCAATGCCAAGGTTACCCATAACCTTCGTAATTCTCCGTGACATATTCGACTATTTCTCTTCATTTCCGTAACCGCTCAGGAATGACTAGATAAATTTGCACATTGTGCAACAGTGTGGACGTAGCTCAGTCGGTTAGCTGTCGGGCTAAGAATCCGAAGGAAGCGTCCTCATGAAAGGTTGTGATGCTCCCACCAACATCCACAACACCATCTCCCACTACACCACCACGACTACACCAACATCCACGACACCATCTCTCACTACACCACCACGACTACACCAACATCCACAACACCATCTCCCACTACACCACCACGACTACACCAACATCCACAACACCATCTCCCACTACACCACCACGACTACACCAACTCCAGTACACCACAACGACTACAACACCCGACACCAACACCCACTACACTACAACGGCCACACCAACACGAAATACACCCTCACTGCTACACCAACACCAACTACACCATCCCCGCTAGATATGCATCACCCGACACACTAGAACCCAATTCAACAGTAGCCACAACACAAAGCCTAGCACACCACAACCAATACTCAAGCATTTACAACACCGCCCGTGCGTCAGCAGCCACAACGTCAGCAGCCACTACACCAGCAGCCACTACACCACGTTTCCACCTGGCTCCTGTGTGCACTGGCGGTCTCCACTGCCACTGCTTGGTTGTCCTGTGGCCACTGTGCAGACCACTGTGTCCATGGTCCATGTGTGGCCACTGTGGCCGTGTGGCCTGTGTGTGTGTGGGTGCTGTGGTTGTGGCTGTGTCCGGTGTGTGGCCATGTGTGTTGTCCGTGTGTGGCCATGTGTCCGGTGGCCACGTGTGGCCATGTGGCCATGTCCGGCCTGGTCGGTCGGTCCTTCTTCATCCATATTTTCCTTTTCCTTCCATCCATCTTCCTTCCCTTCCACCATGTCTCCATGTCCATCCATCCATCCTTCCATGCTTCCTTCCATCCATCCTTGGTTTCCTTCCTTTCCTTCCTTCCATCCTTTCTTTGTCCTTCCATTCCATCCAGTGTTCCTTCCATTCCTTCCACATCTTTGTCTTCCATCTCCATCCTTGT